AATAGATAAAATTTGCATTTTATGGAGGATACAATTTTTTTTGTGGATTTCAAAATAATGTACTAAAAGATTAAAAGTAATAAGTTCAAATCTGTAGCAAATATAAATATTGTAATCATTTCTTATAAATATACGATTTCCTAGTGTAATTTTCCAAGATATTAAAGATCATAATGCAAAAAAACTAAATTTATTAAAAGTAATAGGCTTTATGTTTCTTAAACCACCTACATTTGTCAAAGTATTTATGAATTTTCGAAAATATTCGTCCACTAGTTTTATGGTTGGAATGAAATATAGCAAGACTTGAATTGCCTACTAAGAAAGTTAGTAGCCGGTAGTCATCGGGTTAAATTGATAGGATGAATTAATATGATAAATTAGAGCATTCTTTCATCCAGCAAAAAACTAACATTCAAAAAGAAAACTAAGTAAAAAATAAACTGCTATATACTAAGATTAGCCTTCACCAAAATTGGGGTTCAAAAAGATTGGTTTCTTTGTAAAAAAGCAATAAAATTCAACAAATTTATCTGTGGTAATTTTTATGCATTATATAGTTTAGAAAATATGTAAATGTTTGTGTTTAATTCAAACCACAAATGTGGTTATTATTATCATCCCTTCAAATGTGTCAACTTAGAAACAGCTTAGCTTGATGTCATACAAATCAATATTAAACACCAGTTTGTAAATAAACTTTTTAGGTATGTTGATTCCAGTTTTGACTGTCAAATAAATTTTTAGTACTTCACTCAAGTATGTATTTCATTGGTACTTAATCTTATGGCTTCCTTGGAATCACAAAGAAGTATAATAATTTATATGTAAGTAGAACCTCAACATTAAGGGCACCCTTCAGATTGCATCCAAATGCCCTCAACTGCAAAGTGTACTTAATATGAAAAATGAGTCATACAAAGCTGGATTCATATTGACCATACTAAATTTCTGAATTTTAATGCCCCCCCATTTTTTTTTGGTACATGCAGGACACAGGTGTTCTTGAGTTACATGTTGCCATGACATGGAACATTATCAACAGGAGGTCTTGGAGTGGATTAGTTGTGCCCTTTTTTGTTTATTATTGGTCAAAAAGTTTCAAAGTACTTCTCTTCAGAGTTTGAACTGTCAACAACTGAAATAGAAATTCCTGAAAATAAAGCAAAAAAATCAACGGTTTTGTCATTAGACTGTTTAAGTGACACCGTAATATAATACTCTCGAGAGCAACAAAGCACAAGCACAGAAATAAGCCGACTTGACTGAGAACACGATGTGGAATTTATCAGCTTATGTATCTTACAGTATTTACAACAAGAATTCCCCAGAGTAATAAAATTGCACTATGAATCTGTGAAAACATTTATTACAGTATATGGTTCAGAGCCAATCCAAAAAACATTGCAATTGTTTGAATATTGGTCCTCCTTCAGGGACATTTGAAATTTAGTATACAGTACAGGCATACAAAGATAACTGCTCGCTTATAAAGTGCCCGTACAGAGAACAAAACTAAAGACACTGCTCTTAATCCGGAATATCGAGATGCCTCTTACTGCAATAGATATTTGGTTTACAAATAGTAGAAAAAAGAAAGAGGCTAAAATGGTCTGCCCTTAAAGGCACAGTGCCTGTTAATCGAGATTCTACTGTATACATAATTAACATTACTTTGAGTTTCATAAACAAAACAATTTCTTGTTTATTATAATTTTTACAACTCACTTTAAAATATTTCTTAAAGAAGCCTCATTATTTTTCTGTACAATAATTAAATCTCAAATGTTCAGGCAGCAAAAAAAAACATATTAATGTATTACCTACTCTAATGCTTGCTTGTTTTAAAGCCAACCTACACAGTGGGCTATCACTGTTATGTCAGTCACAGGAATCAAATCCCAAATGTTAGTGTTAAAAGCCTTCAAGTTTACTGCTGAACCACCAGAGAGACATTTACCCTAATAATGATTGATTAATGTAAAATAGATCACGTTTCAGTTTTACTTATGTTCAAATTTATTTTTTCTATAAACATAAGCACAATGGCAACAGCTAAAAACATTTTGCACTTGTGAATCAGAAACAGACATTTAATATTTGAACATTTTGGAATATCCATATTCCATCTTCTACAAGCTATATTAACTCCATTGCTATGGTGGGATCAAAGTGAGCATGTCACAACCTTTTATATTGTTACATTTAAAATTTAATTAAACAACTATATTATCAATGTATGTCAAACTTGGTAAGAAAACAGTTTCAAATTCAAATATTTATAATATCTAAGTTTAATAACTTAATCTTCAGAAATATTCAAAAATTCTCAATCTTCATTTTTTTATGTGACATGTCCAAGCTCCTAAATTCTTTAGCAGAGAGAGAGCAGAGGGCCTTATCTGGTGAGTTTGATAAATTTATTCATAGTTTAGCAAACAAAGGTAGCAGTTTCAAATTTTCGATTCTTTTTTCTAATTATTTATTGTTTGTTTTCAATTCGTTGAAAACTTCAACAACCTCTTTTAGAAGTCAGAAAATTCTGAACATAATGGGAATGTTTATAACTGATAGATTATCCTCTGTATAAATATAACTATTCATTTTGGAGTTTGAGCAGCAAAAGACAGTAGTTGAAAAGTGCTTGATTAACGTTGAGCTTGCACCAAGCAGTAACAGAATTCTTTTAGCCTATTTATAGCTTACTTAGAAACCCAGATAAAGCAAACTAATTTTGGAACATTTTATTACAGTGAATGGTACATTTTTATGTTATAAAATGCTTACTTGAAAGTTACACAAATTCTTTTGTTGGGCAATCAACTTTGTGAGAAAAAATAGGCTTATGCAGTTATGCTAACAAGTGTAAAGATTATGTGCTCTGCCTGTGCTGTTTATGAAAAACAGCTTATGGGCTCCCACTTTGATTTACTATTTTTTAAAGAGGAACTAAGTACTCCTGCAGTCCAAAGTCAGTCAGATGTGAAAAGATTAATCACTGAAACTGTGAAGATAAGCAGAGGTGTTGCTAGGTGCTTAAAAGATACAGGGCTTGGGCCCATAAGTGTGGGAATGTTTGTCATTTCAGTAGGATATCAATCATGGTTTTCTTTTCTGATTTTTTGAAACACCAACTGGGGATTTAGGGCACTGTCATGTGCCATTGTCTAGCAATGCCCCTGAAGATAAGACATTTCAAAACCTGAAATAAATTATGCATTGAAAGAAAGCAAAAAGACTATTATTCATTTTATTTCATACATTTTAATTTTTAATTTCATCATACATTAATAATTTTGTTACAGTTAATGTTAGGATAGAGAAAACATATAAAAAAAAATTTACAAAAAAGAAAATTCTTCACAACCATTATGAGGTTCTATAGGTTATGCAAAAAAAATATGAAAACTGCCTTTCCTTCAAATTGACTCAGCAAAGGATTTGAAAATTCAGAAACAAGTCTTTTGAACTATTCTATTAAAAATGTGATATTTTTGTGTACAATAGTTAGGTAAAGTATAATAAAAGCCTACCATATTTTGTGAAGGTACATTTATAATTATAGTATGTATAGCAGGTCTCCAAGGACAACAGTCTGATAGTAAGCTTTGCAAAGTCATTTAATAAAGATTTAAATTTTGTTGGATAGTCACAACAGCTTCATTAGGTGAAAATATTTCCTTAATAATCTTTGAAGAGATTATTGTATATGTCAGTGAGAATACAAACCAGATGTCTTTTATCAATCACATGCTTTAATAGTCATGTATATCACAATCTGTAGAAAAATTAGTTACAAATAATTGCTGTATTGCATAATTCAATGCCTAATTGCAAGTAAATTGACAAGCAAGTTGGACCAAAAAATATATTTTTACTACATTTATTTAAAGAGGGGCTAAACACATAATTTAAGTTTGTAAAGAACATATACTAACAGTGTTTGTAACAGCAGACATACTTTAGCATATTTTTATGGAATAAAATAAATCAAGAACCTCCCCCCAAAAAAAACTAAATGAAGAAACAAAAACAACACACCTTGCATGCTGGTGGAAATTTGTCTAATGAATTACATTGAAGAAACTCAGGCCAACCAAATTCATGCTGCACAACCTGACAAGGGCCACGGGTGACTTTGCACATCTCTTGACTTGGAAGAGTTATTTGTCCATTTTCACACTTAGGTAAGTAGACAGCACACAGAAGAGGCTGAATTACAGCCCAACATCGGGGAACACTTTGAAGTCCTCTCCATAAGGTAAGCTGTTCCTATTAATAAAACAGTTCAAAGTTAACATTTGCCTTACCTGAAAATTTATTTCCAACAGATATTCACTTCCACACATAGAACAGCTTGATTCCTTCATGTATCTGCCTATGAGATTTGCATGTCACTATCCTTGAGCTACCACTCACCTAAACAAAACATGTTTGATGTGAACTACACTAGTGCATGATGTCATCATGCAATCATAGCCCTCCACCATTCGAAGGGAAACATCACCTCCTTGCATAGTAGCTCCCCTTAAGCACTTGTGCTTGAATTAACTTCATTCTTAAACAAGGCAAGAAGAAAGTGCACCAAAAGTCAGTAAGACAGGAGGGAAGGTGTGCAGAAGTGAGTATCTATCAGATAGACATTTTTGGGTAAGGAAAATGTTAACTTCAGATACGATACCTCACCTTCTCACACAGAACAGCTAAAATCCCACACTGAAATGTTGGAGTGGCCAGTGCATATTTCAAACCTAGATGAGTTCCCTTCAGAAAGTGCCTGATGGGAAGGCCCACGGAATGTGATACCCGATGGCAGGCACTCCATAGGGGTCCACCAATGAGAAACTGCATCTCATCTCAATCATGGGATATTTTTTGCCTGGAAGGAAAGGCAGAAGAACCCCCAAGTGTCACAGTGATAAGCAGAATTTTAGCACAACCAGCTCAACACTAGCACACAAGCAATCAGTGAGCCAAGAAGTATAGTGTGATTAGGGTGTGATCAAACCACATAGGGTATCTCACTTCAAATTAACTGGATAGACTGGGACAGGGGTGATGAACATGTCCTGCTGCAGGAGAAGGGCATACTATTTTTTAAGGGATTTACCCACACTACACAGACAGTGCCACCACTGCCCTACTTCCCACTATAATGAGCTGTACACAATCAAAGGTTGACCACCCCAGTCACTAGGAACTGGTAACTTGCAGGGGTTTCCTGTGCTCCACTCAAAGAAGAGGAGAGGGGAGAATTTACACTGAAAAGACCCAGAGAAGTGTCCAAATACTTGTTGGATGCCTGCCAGAAAGGTCTTTTATTGGAAATAATGCAATGGGTAACGTCAAAACCTATTTTTAAAAGCCAGCAACCACGGGCAAAAGTGGACAATCACTTTGCTGGTTCCAGCTAGCCTTTTCCTTTATGGTCCATAAAAAATATGGCATGAATTGGGCAACTGAGTAAATTTAATACCAGGAGAATACCTCTGGTGTTCTTGCGGAACATCCCATCTTGACAGTGGGTACTACTAGATCTAGAGCAGATGGTTTCAGCAATTTCCATTACCCCTGGCCCAAAGCAGATTTTGGGAATATAAGCAATACTTGGAAGGCAAAACCAGCCATCTGGTGGGATACTATAAAAGGGAAGAAGAAAATGTACATAACCTTCTCAAACATGGTGTGTGAATTGAAGAACAATGACCTGAGGAATACAAAATCCCTCAAGGGTTAGCTAGCGTGAGACTGGTGACAAAGCTGATGTGACATAATGTGAAAGAGCTTGCAAGCATCAATATCCATGGAAAAATACACCAACCATAGGAGTTGGCAAACCTATCCTTTAATGGTAGAAGGCAAAAGGTCCTAAGGTAGAAGAAAACAATGATGGGGACCCCAAAAGAGTGATATAGGTGCTAAGTAGCATTAAACAGCTTGAACCGGACACAGTCGGCAATTTGAGTCTGAACAAACATAAAGGTGGGAAATCAAAGGTATGAAGATAGGAGAGAAAGAATGATCACCTTCCCAAACAGCCGAAGTTTTAGGGAGGGAGGCCCAGTCAGGGTATAAAAGTAAATAAGTATGGTGAAAGAGGGTACAGGAAGCATTGATGGCATATACATTCAAATATCAATGACTACAGACCAGTAGGAGAAGGAAATATGTTTTTAGAAAATGATGGTATAAGGAACATGAAGATAATGGTTTGGATGGAGCACATGTAAGAGCATGTAAAACTACATTAATGTCCCAGTCAGGCATGGAAGTAGGACAGAGGGGTTGGTGAAGAAAGAAGGATCTGAATAAAATGGAGAGGATAGGGGAAGAAAAAACCTGAAGGCAACAGGAAAAGCTAGGTGTATTTGATAAAACCACTTGATAACCAGCAGTGGTGGAAACTTACAATCCATGGTTGAACAACCATGAAAAAAAGACCAAAAGGTAGGCCACAGTTGGATAGCCTGGAGGAGAGAGTAGAGGATGGACTACTGTCAAAAAACCCACCACTTCTGTTGATAGATGGAAAGTTGAAGGACAACAGGAATGGGATAAGAAAAAGGCTACCTGGTCAGGGAAGCCAACCCCCTTGGCAATGGATCAGACAAATCCCACATGTGACGGTGAAGGGATGACACTCCTAAGTGAGAGAGAGAGTGGAGCAGAGGAAAAAGGGGCTTGGATGCCAACTGACAAAGCAGAACACACCAGGGTTGTACCAGCCAAAGAAGCACCACCAACAGGATCAAATAAGGAGTGTCACGTATCAAAGTGAGGACACAAAAAGGAGGATAGGCATACAGAAGGAGGTGAGATCAGTCCTGGTTGAGAACACTGACCACCAGGGCATAAATATGAAGAATTAGGGACCAGAAGAGAGGAAGTTTGGTGTTGAGAGGAGTGGTAATGGCATAAATGAGAGGCATGCAGAAGTAGAATCCTGTCAGGCTGAGAGAGACGATCAACCATCAAGTTCAGAGCTCCTGGTACATGACAAGCTATGAGAGAAACCTAATAGAAATGATTACAAAATGGCAGGTCCAATACATGGAAGCAAAGAGTCCTAGAATGAGTATCATCTGATGGTTGATTTTTAAAAAATGCCCATGAAATTGTTGGAATGAATCAGCCATGAGATGAGGGAATAAATGGAAACATGCCCAACTGACAGCAAGAAGTTCAAGTACACTGATGAAGAATGTGGGCTTCTCTGGCAAGTGAGTGCCCACCATGGCATTGGTGCCACCAAGACAAGTCTTCAAAAGGAGAGGAGAGTTGTACTATTGACGACAATGGATCCCAAGTAAAGTTCCACCGGTCCTGCAATGTTCACTAAAGACACGTGTGTATGGCCTAAAGGAATGAGTGGTTTAAGAGAAACCAAAGTCCCCATAAATGAAAAACCTCATGTGCAGGATGTAAATGGGAAGCATGAACCTTGGTGACCAGGGATTTCATTACTCACAGGTGAAGTGGTGAAGGCTGAGCACAATTGAGATGGATGATGAATAACATGCCCAGATGTACCAAATATTGGGCAGATGTGAGAAAAACTTGGAAGGCTTGACAAGCCAGCCCAGCTGAACAGCATACCACTGAAGAATGCAGGTCAGAGAGAAGTCCCCCAAAATGGGACAAGGAGAAGCCAATCAACCATGTAATAATGGAACCTCTGTCCCAATCCACGAACACTACTGGCAAATGCCCCCATAACATGATTGAAGACATAAGAGAACACAATGCCAAAAGGAAAGGCACAGAACTGGAAGACATGATCTTGGTGGACAATACAAAACCATCTGAAGGACAGGGTGATCAGAATGTGTAAAAAGAATTTCAAAACTTCAATCTTGGTCAACTGCAGTCCAGGTGAAAAGAGCTAGTGATGACAAAAGAAACTCTCCATAGAGAACCTAGGAATGACAAAAACTTATTAAGAGATGGCAGATTGATAATCAGATACCAATCTCTGGCCTCCTTGAGAGTAATAGCCTGGAGTAGGGGTAACTACTGTTTCCATAGCTTTCAAGGGTGCTGGAGATAAATGTGATTCGAGGAAAGAAGAAAAACCAGAAAAGTGGAAAGGGGGAGAATAAGAAAAGTGGAGAGATAAGCCATGGGTGAGAACCTGAAAAATCTATTGGTCAGTCAAAAATGTAGATCACAGGCTAGCAAAGAGACATATGGGCTCTCAAAGAGCCAGACTTATCAGGATAGACATCGACAAGATGAGTGATGACCCTGATGTTGGGAAGTGAGAGGACGGGAAGGAGGAGGTTTGGAAGCTGGAATGGGAATGAGAGCATGAATATAGCATGCCTACAAGCAGGAACAGAAGGGCGAGGTTGAGAAAGATGAGAAACCAAAGCAGACAATGAGCACTGATACTGAGCCACCTCAGCATGAATCTCCAGTGAGTCAGGAACATAAGTGTGAAGAAGGTGCACACTAGCTAGGAGAGCATCCCATTCCTACAAGTTTCAAGAGCAGAGGAAGAAGTACAGGCCAAAGTGCTAAAAACATGAGAGTGAATCTCTCCAGAAAAGTCCTCCAGAGCACAATGAAGTGCCTCCAAAATAAGGTGAAGTGATGAGATGTAATGCAGAATGGTAATAAGAAAGAGATGAAGGCATGAAAATTTTCTGCTAGAAAGGGAAACAGAAGTTAAGGGGTCTACCCCAAGCAGTTAACCAAGAATCAAGAAATGGAAATGAAAAATAGCTGTAAGCCAAGACAAAAGATTAAAGAAGACGTGGAAGACAAAGCATGTTAGTACTGGTATGTAGTTGTTTGAAATATGAGTCTGCATGGACCCTAATATCAGGTGAAGAAGGGAAACCAAATTACTCTTGAGTATGTGCTTCATGTAGTAAAGTACAGGAGGAATAGAAAGACACAGGGGAAAGAGAAGAACATACATACAAAATCATGTCAAGGAAGAGATTAGAAGAGTGAGGATTTTCCTTTACAGATAAAGCTGTGCCTATAGCAAGCCCTGGTGGGGGAAATAGCCAATAAAAGTCATCATCATCCTGGTCATGTTCAAACTGGGAAGAAGAAATGGAAGGCGGAAGCTCAGTATGCATGAAGGAACCCACAATACATTGAACACATCCTCTAGTAGCCACAGGTCCTATGTTAGTAACATTGTCACTATCACAGGATGAAGTGGAAGTTACCATCACTTGTGAATTCATAATGGCGGGAAATCACCAAATGTGTTTTTCTTTTTTTTTACTAAGTGAAATTAAGAAACCACACTAATTATG